TTTTTTGTTTAATCTATTAACATACAAAAGTTGCTTAAACGACTGGAAAACTAATGTGCTTGTTAGGTACAGATGTCTCTTCCGTTGGTGTGTGAGGTGTTTGAAGGCCAACTACTGTATTTCAACTCTATGAAACGTAGTTTAAAATCTATTAGAGAATTTAATTACCTAAGTTTATAACTGGCATCCATTCTTAGAAAAATTTAATCTGTTGAACTTATGAGTTAATTAAATATTAATCACAGAATAGTGAAGCGATTGTTATTATTTTATAAAAATGGTAGATTTACAAATAGAAAACTAGATTTGCAAGTTGTACTTGGGTGCTTAAGAAAACAAGTTTTTTTTTAAATTTATACGTTTAATAAACACAGCATTAATTTAAACACAAGCAGCAGTAGGTGGCTTCTTGCTGCACAGAAGCCATTCTGCAGCATTGGAGACTTCTCTGCCTTTGCTTCTGTGGGTCTTTCTGCTTGCAATAGCCCCAAAACATGGGAAAGTTTGACTTTTCCCAAAAGGCCTGGCTCTCATTCTTTTTTTGGGGGGGGGTTCGGTCATGGGGCCTGAACTCTGGGCCTGGGCGCTGTCCCTCAGCTTTTCAGCTCAAGGCTAGCGCTCTACCACTTGAGCCACAGTGCCACTTCCAGCTTTTTTCTTTTGCTTATGTGGTGCTGAGGAATTGAACCCAGGGCCTCACGCATGCAAGGCAAGTGCTCTACCACTGAGCCAACTTCCCAGCCCCCTGTCTCACATTCTGTGAATACTTTCTCCCTAGCCTTATTAGAATCCTGCTTCTTAGCCAGACATGGTAGCATAAGCCTATAATTCCAGCTGCTTGGGTGAGGAGATAGGAGGATCATGGTCTAAAGCTAGCCTGGATAAAAAGGTCAGACTTTTTCTGAAAACCTAACTAAAGCAAAAAGGGTTGGGGAATGTGTGATTCAAGGGACAGAGTGCTTTCTCACAAGCACTGAGTTCAGTCTCCAGTACCATCAATCAATAAATAGATAAGTAAAACAATTCTGCTTCCTTGCTTACAATTACTTGTGTGTGTAGCCCAGGCCTCCTGTAGATCAGGCCATGGAGGGCTGCTGGCTGGATCATCACTACATGTGAGAATACAGCTGAGTCCTGGCCAAAAGAGCAGCAGTGGCTCACGCCTGTCATCCCAGCTACTCAGGAGGCTGAGATCTGAGGATCGCGGTTCCAGCCTGGGCAGGAATGCCCATGAAGCTCTTATCTCCAATTAACCACCAGAAAACCGGAGGTGGTGCTGTGGTTCAAGTGGTAGAGCACTCACCTCGAGCTGAAGAGCTGAGGGACGGTGCTCAGGCACAGTTTAAGCCCCACGACCAACGAGAGAGAGAGAGAGAGAGAGAGAGACAGAGACAGAGACACACAGAGAGAGAAGGGGGCTGGTACACAGTGGGCATCCATGGTGCAAGACCTTGAGTACAATACAGTTAATTTCAGTTATTTCAGTCCCTGGGTGGAAGGAAGCCTTCTCTCCTTTTTTTTTTTTGGTGAGTCATGGGGCTTGAACTCCAAGCCTGGGTGCTGTACCTGAACTCTTCAGCTTAAGGTGAGCACTCTACCACTTGAGCCACAGTGCCACTTCCGGTTTTCTGGTGGTTAACTGGAGATAAGAGTCTCATGGACTTAACTACTGGGACTGGTTTTGAACTATGATCCTCAGATCTCAGCCTCCTGAGTAGCTAGGATTACAAGCATGAGCCACCAGCCAGCTCCTGGCAGTAAGCCTTCTCTTTAGCCATCAAGATTTTCTTTGGCTGGGACCCAAAAGGTCTCTTCCTTCCATTCCTTGGGAAAGAGTGTAGCAGACAGAATAAAGGCCCTTCTGAGACATTGCCAACCTAAACCAAGTGCAAAGGGCAATTAAGATTGGAAACCAGGTGAACCAAGTAAGAGAGCTGCTCATGGATTATCTGAGTGGTCTTGAGAGTAAAGAGGGAGAGAGAAGAAGCAGAGGTCTCAGTGCTACAAGAGATGGAAAGGAGATGCATGAAGCTGGCTCTGAGGCTGCAGGCAGGGGCGACGGGTCAAGGCATGTGGGTGTCTCCTGAAGCTGGAAAAGGCCCCGGAGGGTAGCTTCTAGGAAGGAACACAGCCCTGCTGATGCCAGGTTTCAGTGACTCATGTCAGATTTCTGTCCTACAGAACTTGAAGGTGATACATTTGTGCTGTTTAAGCTGCTAGATCTGGGCTGGTATTACAATACGACCCTAGGAAATGAAGTCCCAGCCTCATTCTCTCCTGTCTCATTTCATGATCATGAATCGGTGACATCCACAGAGCTGCCCTGAGAGGCAGATGGAAGCTGAGGACCTCAGATCCTCAGGAGCTTGTGTCCTGCAGGTGTCAGGTGTCTGTTGCCCAGGCAACCACTGCAATGGCTCCTCCTTACTGAGGAGTGGAGGTGGGCACTCCTCCTCTCCCCTCTGCCCTATAAACCTTCCTAGCCTGAGTCTCTCACGTGACCTTTTTGGGACAGAGTGTGGGAGTTGCTGGGGTTCCTGGGATATAGCCCTTGTTTCTGGGCCCCTAAACTTCTGCCTTTGCTCCATCCCAGGCAAACTGCTCACTACCCTCCTCCCTGGCAGCTCTTTCCCCAGGCACTGTCTCAATGCCTCAGAGAGCACAGGAAGCTGAGGTGGACCCTAGGGCAGCGAAGCCAGCGCTGGGATCTTCTCTGAACCCTGGCTCCTTACTCCCAGACAGTGATTTCCCCTTCCTCTTCCAGGGCAATGCCGGAGGATCAAGCCCAGGGCTTCTATATACTAAGCAAGCTCTCTAACCCATACACATAATGTGTCTATTAAAAAGTTAGCTACTGAGTTCAGGCCCCACAACCAGACCTCCCCCCCCAAAAAAAAAAAAGTTAGCTACTGATAGAGTGCTTGCCTAGCATGCATGAAGCTCTGGGTTTGATTCCTCAGTACCATATGAATAGAAAAAGCTGGAAGTGGGCTGGGAAGGTGCTCAGTGGTAGAGTGCTTGCCTTGCATGCATGAGGCCCTGGGTTCAAATCTTTAGCACCACATAAGCAGAAGTGGCGTTGTGGTGCTGTAGCTCAAGTGGTAGAGTGCTAGCCTTGAGCTGAAGAGCTAAGGGACAGCGCCCAGGTCCAGGGTTCAGGCCCCATGACTGACACCCCCCCCCCAAAAAAAAAAGCTGGAAGTGGTGCTGTGGCTCAAGTGGTGGAGTGCTAACCTTGATCAAAAGAAACTCAGGGACAGTGCCCGGGCCCTGAGTTCAAGCCCCAAGACTGGCACACACACACACACACACACATACACACACACACAAAAGTTATCTCTGAGCTTGAGCGCTTGAGCGCTGGTGGCTCTGACCTGTAATCCTAGCTATTCAGGAGATTGAGATCTGAGGATAGGGGCAAAGTCAGCCGGCCAGGAAAGTTCATGTGACTCTTACCTCCAATTAGCCACCAAAAAGCCCGGAGTGGAGCTGTAGCTCTAGTGGTAGAGCACTAGTCTTGAACAGAAAAAGCTCAGGGATGGATGGTGCCCAGGCCCTGAGTTCAAGTACAGACACAAATGACATACAGAAATGTTAGTTTTCCGGGCTGGGAAGGTGGCTCAGTGGTAGAGCGCTTGCCTTGCATGCCTGAGGCCCTGGGTTCGATTCCTCAGCACCACATAAGCAAAAAGAAAAAAAGCCGGAAGTGGCACTGTGGCTCAGGTGGTAGAGCGCTAGCCTTGAGCTGAAGAGCTGAGGGATAGTGCCCAGGCCCAGAGTTCAGGCCCCACGACCGGACCCAAAAAAAAAAAAAAAGAAAGGTTACTTTTCACCAGGTGTTGGTGGCTCACGCCTGTAATCCTAGCTACTCAGAAGGCTGAAATCTGAGGATTGCAGTTCAAAGCCAGTCCGGGGCAGGAAAGTCCCTGTGACTCTTATCTCCAATTAACCACCAGAAAACCAGAGGTGGCGCCGTGGCTTAAGTGGTAGAGTGCTCCCCTTGAGCTGAAGAGCTGAGGGACAGTGCCCGGGCCCAGAGTTCAAGCCCCACGACTGACAAAAAAAAAAAAAAGTAGTTTGCAAAGAGATAGGGAAAATGTCAAGAAACGTGTTACTCAGTTCCACTGAAGGGCTCAGAACCCTGGCACCCAGGTTTCTGACTTCTCATGCCACCATTTCCACGCTGGCCTCCCCAGCAGCTCTGGGGCCTGGGACGAAGGCCGGGAACAGGCCCTTCCTGTCCTCAAGTTCAGGGTCCCTATCATCTCCCCGCGGCCGATCGCCGGGACCCGCGGCTCCGGGGCTGGGCGCCGGGCGGCACCGGGCAACACAAGCTCGGGTCCCTACAGCGGCCGTGGCAGCTCGAGGGCCGGCAGCGGCGCGTTGCGCAGGAGGCCCGGGGAGAAGTTGGCGGCGCGGGCCCGGGCGCGGGCGGGGCGGGACAGGGCGGGACGGGGCGGGGCGCGCACGTGTGGAGACGAGTGCGTGTGCCCATCCGGCGGCCCGGACTACAAGTTCCAGGGTGCCCAGCGGCGCGCCCGGGTTCGCTGTCTGCGCCGCCCGCCGGTTCCAAGCAGGTCACCACCGGCTGGCACGAGCCGCCCGGTCCCCAAGTAGAGAAGGGAGCGACTCTCCCGAGCACCGGCCGCCGAGTCCAAGTGGGCGGGGACCCGCCTCGCGCCGCCCGCTCATGTCTCTGCGGAGCGCCGCGTCCGGCCGCCTGGCACCGCTGCG